CAGGGATTGCACCTGCAACCCAAGTATGTGCCCTTGACTGGGAATGAATCTGTGACTCTTAGGTGTGCAGGCTGACACTCTAAACATGGAGCCAAAAGGCTAGGGGAAAATTGCCATTTTCATAGGTAAAATGTTTGAAGATCAGATATTTCGTAAGGTTCAACAACATGGTCCAGCCAAGCTTCTAGGAATTTTATATTTGGTCTTAGAGCCAAACCTCAAGATATTTTAAATTGGTTTCCTGTGTTATCTTCTGTGGCTTTTATTTCCTTGGAGACTTAATGAGGAAGGAGAACTGACCAAGGTATAGAGCAGGGCCGCTCTCACTACGCTGAATAATGACATCTGAATCTCACATCCATACCATCTATCAGAAGTTCTGTCATAGAGTGAAGAGAGTGATAGACCAGGAATCAAGAGACTAGATTCTATTCTTGGTGCTCTCATTACCTAGTGAAAAGTTGGATGAGCTGTAACTTCTCTCAACCTCTCTTTTTCTATTTGCAAAATAGGGGCTGAATAAGAACTAAGTTGTGTCTGATGTATCTACCGCTCTAATATTTTGCAGGTTTTCTTTGTAGGAACTGAGAGGTGGGAGTTGGCAAAAGTACTGTAAGTACTTAACTATATTTATATATGTACTGGTATCCTTTACAGAAAGATACATCAGCCAACCAAATAGATAACCAAGGTTAGAGGGGGAAATATACATTATTTGCTGAAACCTTTGGTCAAAAACAAAATTCTAGGCTTTATATTACTTAATATGTTTTACTAATCCATAAAATGCATTTTGTGTAATTTAACAAGGAAATGTACTTTAGTTGATTTTAAAGTTCTTTCTCTTTTATAAATTGTATGAAAGTCTTAAGTGATTATGAAGATTAATCATTTGTTCACAAATATATGGACTTCAAATCATAAATTTATTGAGAACTGTAAGAAAATGTTTTAAATGCTTTGGCTCTGTGCTGTCCTATTATAATGACACTAAATTTAGTCAGGTTTTGGTTTGTCCTCATCTGCACAATGATGACAATCTCTAATTTAGACTTTCTAATATAAGCATTGTTATAAAATAGTCTGTAGTCTAAGATTGCTTAGAAAAGGCAAAAATAAACTTAATTCTTGCAAATCTGAACAACAATATGCAACCTAGAAAGAAGAAAAGGCTGGTTGCATAACAACAAAGTAGAACAGTGACTATCCCCACAGTCTCCTTCCATGGAGTTACCAGGCCCTAAAAATAATTCTACTTCATTCAAGTACATTTTTTTCAAAAACAGCAAGCCCCAGTAAAACTTTCATGAGCAATTCCACACCAGGAATAGAGAAAGTAGGTAATATATTTAACAAATTAGAAATGTATAGGTCACATTTACACAAGCAAATGATTAGAACTTTTGGCTATATTAGGTTTACTTAGTCACCTTTATCATGTAATAAAGAGATCCTTCTTGTAGCAAAAACTTGAGCCAAAAGTTATAAGCTTAATTTCTGCAAAACCCAAAGAAGCCAAAGAGCCTGGTCCAATGACCAAGTTACTCTTCTTGTCAAGAATGCTTTATGCACGTACACTCATGCACATATGCACACCCCATGTAGCCAGACTTTCCTGTCAATTTCTGAGACATTGTTTCCCATTCTGTGATCTAAAATAAAATCACTTTGCTTCCCAGGCTCAATCAATAGTTTATTTTAACCTCCTTTCTCCCCCTATATCTTATGCTACATTCAATTCATCATTACATAATTTGGCCCTTTCTGTCTTCAAAGCGTGCACGTGAACTTATTTAAAACCAAGGTATATAGTGAGAACTTGAGGTACACATTAATATCCCAGCAGTTACAGAGAAAATTTATGCTGTGAAAGATAAAACAAAGCCAGTGAAGCATAAAGTCAACATGATGAGGCATCCTAATGTTTCTGTTGGACAAAATTTATGTGGTAAGTCTTCTTTTCTGTTGTGTGTGTGTGTTTCCCTTCCCAGGCATATTATAATTATCAAGCACAAGTGCTATCTTTATATTCTTTTTAAATTTCCACTTTCTCTGTATCTGATATCATCATAGGTACAGGCATATCAGATGTATTTCAAAACTGGATCCCAGTCAATGCATGGGTCTCTAATATTTGCTGTGAACATTTAGGAGCCTAACATTTACATTTTTTGAAATGTCCTTCTTTTCTCGAGTACTTATTCTATTTAGGAGACTTTAAAATTCTTCCACAGATTTTAGGCACATGCTCATTAATATGACCACTTGATTTGAATAAATATAAATCATAAATAAAAATAGACTGAACTTCAACTAACACTTCAAAATAACACTACAAAGGCCTTGGTGGGTGTGGTTCAGTTGGTTGGGCATCGTCCCATACACCGAAAGATTGCTGATTCAGTTACCAGTCAGGGCACACGCACGGGTTGTGGGCTTCATCCCCAGTAGGGTGTGTTGAATGAGCCAATGGATGTTTTGCTCTAATACCTATATTTCTCTCTAACATCAATGTTTCTTTCTCTCTCACTCTCCCTTCTTCTCTCTTGAAAAATACAAAATATATATTTTTCAAAAATAACACCAGTGTGTTTTTATTGCCTAACTACAAGCACTACATAAGTAATATAAATAAGGACCATCATTCTTAATCTTTCACAATCAAGCAGATTGTTTTTAAATGAAAATGGTCTCTGTTAGGAGAAAGAACTTCCATTTCAGAGGAATCGCAGATCAGCTGAACAGGAGAAACCAGGTGGAGCAGGAAGGGAGTAATGATGAAGCCAAGTCTTACCCCCGGTAGCTCCAGTGAAACGAGCTGCCCAGGCTGAGGCTGGGGCCTCCCCACTTCCATCCAGCTCAAAGGCTTCTTGGAGGAGGCAGTCAACTTGCTAGAATTTAGCTTCATCTTTCAGTCAATCCAGGAAGGCTTCTTAGAGGAATCCCATGCCAACTGGGGGAAGTGGGTTCTTCCTTTAGGTATCCAGCCCAAGGTGCCCATCCATGCTCTCAGGTGCCGTCTTTTGGGCCCTTCCCACCCACACAGTCCCACGGCTCTAGGTCCTTGGTGACAGGGTTCAACAGGTGCCAGGGCAGAGGCGCACACCTGAATCTTAGCCTCCGCCGAGTGGAGGTGAGCAGGGCAGAGCGGGCCTCACCTCCCCAGCTACCGCCTCAGCCTCTGCCGTGGCTCTCCAAGTAGATTCTTTGGAGGCCACTTCCACAGGGAAAAAGCCACTAATTTAGGCTGTAGTTCTAAGTTTACCCAGTATAGCCTCACTCAGTAGTCCACTGCGTAGTTCCTTTTAGCGTGTAAAGTGCCATATTCGCAGGTTCCAAGGATTAGAACTGTGGACATCTTTAAAGAGCCTACCATAAGAGAGATCATGTTCCATTTAACAAATGAAAGAAGTTCGGTCATGTGCTGAGTGCAGAAAACCAGGAGAAAAGTGGTATTGGGTATTGGATGAGACTGGGAGGTGGGCAAGGACCACAGTATGTATTACATCATAAACCATGTTGAGAGTTTTGATCTTTATTCTAAGAACACTGAGAAGCCCTTGAAGAGGTGACAGATTACACTTGATATTTTAAAATATCCCTCTAGCTACTGGGTAGAAATGTATTTTAAAATAGCAGAGGTTCAGGGAAAAGATGATGGTAGGAGCAACAACAGATATTCAAATGATTAAAATTATTATTCAAATGACTGAAGTCATTTCAGATCTTTCACTTCTATTTGGCTGACTCTATGACTGGTTAAAAACCTGTCTAGTAGTTCTATGGGGAAGATTAAATGTTATGAGGCACAACATGCCATTTATATAGGAGCAGTACCAGGCACGCATGATAAACAGAGCTTTGCATTATTATATTGCTTCTATTATTAGTATGCATAACTCGATGCTAGTAAATTAGAAAACATGCAATATGAATGATATGAATGATTTTATAGAAAAAAACTGATTATACTTAAATAAATTTCTATTTTAAATAGAAACATGAAATGTAACTCATGAAGTAGAAAACCTGAATCGATTAAGAGTGCTTAGAAACACTGAGGGAGAGAAGAGAATTTGAAAAATGAGGTAGTGGAAGAGGCAAATCCAAGTCATGTGCGGCTTTTGCGGTCACCTTAAGGATTTTGGCTTTTACTGTAGGTAAAATGGGGAACCTTTGGCGGTTTTGATGAAAGGAGTGCCGTGGTCTAACTTTGGTGTTAAAACTGGCTGATATTTTGAAAATAGACAGATTGTAGGGGGTAAGCTTGGAGGAAGAGAATATTTTATTCCCTCGACTTGGTAAGTCTCTCCTAAGTGCCTCCACAACATCCTGCCCTTACTACACTCTCAGCTTTTATAATTGCCTGAATTTACATCCTCCTCTAAATTGTAAGCTTCTTTAGAGGAGAAATCAAGTTTATCTTCTCACACGGCATTTCCAGAAATTAGCATAGCACTCGACACACAATAACTGCTGAATACAAACTGACTGAATTAAATTAGTAAAATCAATACTTATCTTCTGTTTACAGGCATGTTACTAGTGTGATAGAGAGAACGAGTGGTGATTCTCTGTACCATGAGTACCACACATACATTTATCTTATTAGGTTTCTTTTTCTGTGTAACCATTTGTTATTTTCCAGCATGAACTGGCTGGTATGTCTCACTGTTCTAATTCAAGCAAAGGAGAAAGAAATGAATATTTATATGTATATAACCAAGTGTATATACCAAACATGACTTTCTATGGTAATTAATTTAAGCATTTAACCCTCCTCAAAAACTTGGGAAGAAATGTATAGTTAGCTCCATTTTATAAGAAGAAACCAAAGTTTAGAAATGCTAAGTAACTTATCCAAGGGGATCCAATATGTACAAGACAGGGTTTAAATATATATAAAACCCTTGTTTATCTATCTATATTATATAGCTTGATATAGGTATATAAGCAAAATAAAATAAATGGATACTTTAAAATACAAATATGTTACTTACCGGGAAGTATAGAAGCAAAGACCCAAAAAGGATAGTTTCCAACAGGATAAGGCCCGATGCTCTGATGCTCTAAAAAAGTAAAATAAAAGGTCATTGTTAGGCTTACATTTCTAGGCATGGAAGAATTTATGCTATTGGGACAATTCCTCAACCAGTAGAACAGCATTCTTTGAGGGAAAATAAATAAAAACTGGCTAATATTTCAGATAGGGGAACATAACTGAAACAAGCAAAGACGGACTACAAAGGTGATGGTAGACTTAATAACTTTTCTCATGCCTTCATGGAATTTTATTCTCTAAAATTTGAATTATTGAGCAGTCTAAGCAGCTGGAAACACTATCTAGAAAATCCTTTCAAACTAACTGATTCACTGACTCATTAGATCTTGCCTGTATTTCTGAAACATCAGCTACAAGTGCATATTGAACTCTATCCCTAAGCCTCTTCACAAATACCCACATGATGATTTCAGTGCATAGAACAAACATATGCACAAGGTCTTGGCACCTCAGTGATAAAATATAGTCCCCAGACTCACTAACAGAGCTCCACTATGTGAATAATAGAAATCACCTAAATAACAGAGGGATTTCACCTTGTAAACATGCTTAAATTATTCTCAACTCAAAAGAATAAGTTGCTTCTCAAATAAATGTTCTGAATATTTAAAGTTTATAAAATATTTTATTAGGCTCAAAATAGCATTATTTTCCCAAAGCAAAATGCTTTGAGCTGTGAGATGAAATAAAAAAATGACCAAAAAAGTCAATCTTATCTTTTAATAATAAATTTTGCTTCGGTGAGTTTAAATATTAATATAGGGTAAATATATCGATTAAGAATACAAACATAAAAACAGGTCATTTGAAGGTCCCTGTGTTTTCACTAAATGCCACATAAAATGTATACACCTGGTGCAAATATGATATCTTAACTGGAAATAATTTGAGGTCGTAGCAATTAGTTTTTCAACAACAAAAAGCTGAAAAACCAAACCACAACAGCTCATTACTTAAAAAGAAATATCAGCTAACTGGATAGTCAGAGAAAGAAAATTTAATTCCTCTTCCAAAACCCTGGTAGGACATTGTTAGACAAATAGGAAAGACTTTATGTAATCCCTCAAAAGAACTTAGGATTTCCATTAATTTAAGAATCTGGACCCTAACTGGTTTGGCTCAGTGGATAGAGCGTTGGCCTGCGGACTGAGGGTCCCAGGTTCAATTCCAGTCGAGGGCATGTGCCTTGGTTGCGGGCACATCCCCAGTGGGAGGTGTGCAGGAGGCAGCTGATCGATGTCTCTCTCTCATTGATGTTTCTAACTCTCTGTCCCTCTCCCTTCCTCTCTGTAAAAAAATCAATAAAAATATATTTAAAAAAAGAATTTGGGAATAAAGAAACAAGTTTAGTCCGTGAACAGACTTGATAATTCAAGTGGCTTCTCACTCTCGGTTGCTATTTTTGCTAGCAGGTGCTTTTTCCTGAAAATGCAATTTCTATCAGCAAATTTTACAATGAGTTTTGTGCTGGCAGAACTTCCAAGGTGGCAACATATATTCATACCTAATTATGAGTAATCTGTGGTTTATTTTTTAAACTTCCCAAGAAAATGACACTGAGAGTGAGAGTCTAAAATGTTACACATGATTGCTTGTGAAACAATCTATATTGTTTGGGAAAAAAGGGATATGAAAAGAAGCTGCAAGCTTAATGGAAGTAACAGACTTTAGCGTTAACTTCATCTCAGTTTGAATTATAAAACAGCCACTTGAACTTCAATAGCCTCACCCATAAAATGGGTTTCCTAATCCTTACCTTATTAATTCTCACAGGTTTAATAAAATATGAAGTATGCAAAATAGGTAGCATCATGCCAGATACTTAATAAGTAGGTATGTATTATTCAATGGTAGAAAGCAGCACCAGGATGATAAATTTAAAAACCACAGAGGTATATATTAGTATTTGTCAAAAAATGTTAATGCTGGGATCCAAAATGGCCCTAAAAGTGTCAAAGCCTTGGGGGGAGGGAACTCAGTCATTCTTTGTTCAGTGCCAGTTGGTTCTTAGCTTGCTATAACCATCAAAATCACATGAAACTGGTGCCTGCTTTTACATATTCTCAGAGCAAATACAGTAACCAATCTATTTTTCATGTGGAAATGCCGAGTTATCTACCTAACACTTTCATTGCCTCATTCCTGGCTGGGCAGAAGAGCTCAAAACTGCAAATTATAAACCGAACTTCACTAAGTGGTTCCATAATCAAAAGTAAGTAAGTCCTATTAAAAATGTGGACTTTTCCTTTCAAAATATTCTTGGGCAGAGCTGGCTTCATGGCCTCACAGAATGAGTAGGTACCTAATAGGTGAGACTTTAGGGATAAAGAAAAAAACACCTCATGCTTCCTGAAACAGTTTCCCATTTTCTTATTGGTACTGGAAGTTCTTTTAAGTAGAACAAAGCCTTTTATTTGTTACTTGTTGCCAAACAATAAATATGTAAGTAATATACTGACATTAGTTCAAAGTGAAGAACAGGAATAATTTCCTTGCAATTAAAGTGATAGGATAGGAAGGAGAGGGGAGGCACTAAATATGTACGGGAGAGAGGAAGGAGAGAAAAATGAAGATGGATGAGAGAGATAATGAGCAAAATAATAGAGGCATCTCTTTCATAGTTTTGTCTGAGACAGAAATGGTAGCATATAACTCTTTTTAACCAGAGTTACTAACTGGGAAACTCTTGAAAAACTATTTTGAAGATAATCAACAATGTACAGTATTGTACTACTTCTGTAAAATATATACATACAAATCAACACCATAAATTTTATCTCTCTCTCTCTCTATATATATAAATATACTAGTAGCCCGGCACACAACAATTTGTGCACTCAGTGGGGGGGGAGGGGTCCCTCAGTTATTAAACATTTATCAGCACAACACTGACCACATTGGTGGTGGTGGTGGTCTTGTCAGTATGTATAATATTGTCCAGATGAAAATCTATTTAAACAGATTTGAGGTAGATATTTTCAAAGATGAAAGAATTGTCCCTGTCAACTGTTTTAGTTGATTCATATCTTCAGTAATTGTCATCATTGCAAAGTTTTCAGTCCCCACATGGATTGCTGGATATAATAGGTCATGCACTGTCCCTGTCCTTTGTAGCCTTTGTGACTTTAAGGACTCTAGTTTTCCATTTATATGTTTAAGTATCAACCTTACCGTCTTAAAAATGTAAGCTTTTAACACTGCTCTCTCTGTTCCGTATCCTTCCAATGAAAAGTGGAGTTGGGTTGCAGCATAGGAGAGAAATTCAGAAGGGGAATATTGAAGTAATGACTGCAGTAGGAGAAGAGGGAACCTATTTCCCTGGCCACAGGTGCTGGCACCCTGGACCACAGGGCTGGCAACTTCTCCGGGTGGCTGCAGCCTGGGACCTCGGGCGGGTGGCTTGTCTGTCTCCTGGGCTGCAGCCAGCTGCAGGCACTGGCACCAGGACCAAAGGTGGGTGGCTTCTTCTTCTATGCTTCCAGGGAGGGCGGTCAGTTATGTGTATATGTGTGTGCATGCAAACATAGGCGTGTACACGTGTGTATGTGGAAATCTGCTGGTCAAAACCATAAAAGAGTTGCCCCTATCTCTTGAATCTTCCAGAGATATCCCCCACTTTTTTATTCTATCACTACTGGAGAGTCAGTATTTGCGGCCAACCAGCCAGTGACTCTCTCAGTGTCTATTTCTGAATTCTTCTTTCCCTGTCTGTCTTCCCTTAGTCATATTTCCACCTGGATGCATCATTTTTACTCCCACTATGCTGTATAGAGAAGGAGTCAGGATGCTGTCTTCCCATT